CATCATATTGCATTGACCAAGCGCAGTATGTCAACAGTTCAACACGCCCACTTGCTCACGCGCGCGCGTGGACACATTCCCGGGATAAGTGATAAACCTTACTTTCGGATTAGGGCTGTGAAGCAAATCATGACGAATTGTTTAACTTCTGGTAAGGGTGTCAAAAGACTTTGGTTTTAAGTGACTTTGTTCTTAAATTATATAAAAAAAATTGACAAATAAAATTTTTATCCTCTACTTATACAAGGAGAGCGACTCAAAAGAGCCTGGAAACAGGAACGCCCCTAGCAAACAATACCAAAGCCTCCCCCACCCCCCTGAGGGGGAGATAAGGCAAGACTCAGCTGAAGACTTGAAAGTCATAAAAAGTAACTCAGGTTTCGCTCAGCAAACTAAGACATCTACGCAAGTTAGAGGCCGAATGAGGGCTAATGATTTCGAGCGACACATTAACGGCTGTTTTGTTCTTCGCTTGGGGCGTAGTAGGACAAATAGCCGGCGTGGCAGCGTCGAAAGGAGTGGGAGATTCAAAAAGGAAAAGAGATGGGGGATTGGGGATTCCCTTCGCCCTTGCCTCCCTCTCCCCCTCCGGTTTTTGGGCCTGCCACGCGGGCTACAGTAAAAACGAGAAAATACACGCTCTCTTCTTCTACTGACATGACATAGATTGTATGGTGATAACAGGAGATAATGATCTTCTAGCACCTGCAGACGTCTCAGATCTCGATATCGTAAATATCGTACACTTCGTACTTAGTCTTCTTTAGGTTTAACTGGGGACAATTCACAGAAAATGTTATACTCCGGTTTCGCACCAAGCTGTGCCTTTTCTACACTCAATACCACTTCTCATTGTCTTCCTTATTTTTGAGCATTATTTTTCCCTTAGCTTTTCCCATATACTCTACTGTACTTAAAACTTTTTTTTGCTTTTTTAGTATCACAATTATTGCAGTAAATGCATTGCCTGAGTTGTGGCAATGTGGCAAGCGAAGAAACAAACGACAAAACTGGATACGGCTGGAACAAAGAAACCTCTTAACCCAACACCAACAAAAAGATTAGTTTTAGCTTATTGAAAGAATTTCGGAGGAGATTGCTTTGAAAACAAAACGTAAACATTCGAAGTCACGTTTTCGCCCGAGGCCGCCGCCATCGCACGTGCGGCAGTCGCTGGATGACGCCGCAAGCACGAACCTCCAAGTGTGATGGTGTCATTTCGTAAAGCGGGGCAAGAGGCTAATCTCGCGAATGTTACATGAACTTAAAAGGGAAATTTTGCTGAAGAGAGGCTTGCATTATCCTTCTTTTATCTCCAGCAGGGCACGCACTGTGTTTTTGGTTCGGCTACGAGCACAAGGAGTGGGGATAGGTTTCTTAAGATCTTTTTTTTATTATCATTGGATATACGGATTGAAAAAAAACAAGCATTATCCCCTTCCCCTCTTCCAGTAAATAACAAAAACAAACAAACAAGCAAAAACGGCCTCTTGACTCACTGGAAGATACCTATCTATATTATCGAATTTGAACTCGAGTAGGATTTTCGAGTTTTAGGATTTTCGTATTGGAGTTATTATATCTCGTCGGCTCACTGCTATAATCAATCGAAACAAGTACTCTCCACTAGGACATTGTAGATAGGAGCAAGATAAGGCTTATAAGCATTAAATGAATGTGGCTCATTAAATTCTAAAAAACCGACGAAGAAAAAGAAACAGCGAAGTGGTGGAGGGCGCCTTACCACCAACTTTCTTTCAGATTACCCCGTCACTGCCCATGCATCAAACTTCGATTTTGTGACAGGATGTCGCAAATTCAAAGCATTCGAAGGGTTTTACGGAACCTTATAAATACAAGTGAATGGCCAGTAGTTTAAAGAAAGTTATTTTGTGGGTGGAAGGAGGGGAACGACAACACGTTTTTACCTATTCTCGCCTATCCCTACCAGGGGTAGACCATGCAAACACTTAATCTTTCAACTTCGCGTGATTTACTATTTGCGCAAAGTAAAACAGGAAAAGTAATTAAAATAAGTGTTCGTGATGATTTGTTAGTTGAAGTGAAAGTCTTGTAAAAACAATTCAACCTCACCTTTTTAACTTAAATCCCAGATGAGCCCTCATTAATTAAACCACATACCCGACCGCATATTTTTCCTGCATCCACTTCATCCGAACCGTGCACGGATAGCGCGATTTAAGTTTACTGATGAGTAAATAAAAGTACGATCATATCTTCACGTACGCGTGCATCTCAATCAATACCTCATTATATGTCAGCCAAGAATGATTCTATAAGGTCACTTTCAATAGGTCCGGAATGCCAGTATTTTCCATAATCGCCGTAATTATACAGTTAACCGCCACTGCAAGCGTGCGCGTTCTGAATCATGTCTCACAGTTCTTTAAGCTTAACATCGTGCTGAGCAAGTGACACGAGCGGGGACCGACAACTGATCCATCCCGGTAGAGCTTGTGGCTACACCTTTGTTTCAAAGAAAAAAAAAGATCGGAGCTTAAGTTTTAGAAGAATGATGTAGTGGAAATTTATCTTTTAAAAAAACTTCATTGATCGAGCCTTAGTCGCCATCTTGTTAGTTCCCTTATAAATGCAGTTTAACGTCCATGTAACAGGAAAAGAAATATCATTAAGTTCGATAACAAAATGTTCCGGTTAGGTTTATAAATTCAGTTAAACTATAGAAATTGCTCTTTGATCACGAATTAGAAATAGCAAAAAGGATAACATCTTCTGTGACTTGGACTGGAAACACCGAAACTGCAGGTAACGATCGCTTTCCTTTTATGAGTTCACGTCGAAATTACTACCCTTACAAGGGAGGACTCGCCGTAACTCCTGTTACGGTATTACAGTGGGATGACTTTCCGTGGAGGTGCTTTCAGACTCGATGGTCCAGTTCTTGAATCGGTTGCGTTTAATGTTGACAAAAAGTTAAATTCAAAAACAAAACAAAAAAAGAGAAGAACAAGAAAAAAGAAAAAGAAAACCCTCGCGGAAGTTACACATTCACCCCCTTTGTGAAGCACTCGAGTTTTAATGAACAATATACTCCTGTTTGAACACAACTTGGAAAGAAAGGAAAGGTTTGTTGTATATATTATTTTACTTGACGTGAAATCGGACTACCACTACATTCAGCACAGCGGGCAATTAGGCTAGAATGGTAGGAAAACTCGCTTCTATAAGCCTTCAACAATTTCATTTGTTTTTGGTCAGAATTAAGATAGGAAATAACAAATTTAGAGGTCAGTGGCCCGACTTACCCGACCCCTAAGGAGGTGTACTTCCGCCCGCAGCATATAAGTTATTGTAAGATTACTTAAGTTACAGTCGGTTCTACCCGGCCGAGCTTGATTGGGTTCCCCTAACGTTCATTAATTAAGCCTCCCCTCCTCCCTTGGAGCAATCGTACCCCTCAGTTGACGGAGTGTTTTTAGTTACTCTCGACACCTCGACAAGACTAAAAAACCTGTAGAGAAATGAGTTTTAAATATGGTCGTATTAAACCAGTCACGTAATAGCTTTCTAATAGCCAAACAAGCCTCGCTTCTTGGATTTCAATGACGGCGAAAAACGTGTTCATCCGTCCCATCAAAGGCGCCGAATGTAAAGAACTTCCTCCTCCGTGTTAATTTCCATTGATAAGGGGGGTATAATCGATTCGTAAACATTCAGGATTGATTATAAAATCTAGAAACGGAGTCTGTTTTTTTCGCTCAGTTTGACAGATTAACGCGATGAAACAAATTTGAGGAATTTCCTTGTCTGAATTTGGTCAAAGCATATTTGAACGTTACCCATTTGTGACTTGCTTAGGGGGGAATCACAGAGGCCCGTCTCTTTTGATAAGAAGCTGAGTGTCCGTCTCTTGCTTACACCCACCATTGTATCCCGTCAAGGCTTATTGTACGTCTAAACAAACTCAAAATATATACACTGCCTCCCATATTATATCGACGAGTTGCCTAGAAAGTCTGACTTTCCAACACTCACTTTAAAGTAGTCAAGATCGAAGATTTTAAACAATTTAAGTATTAAGTAAATCAAAATTACGACAGTCGACTACCATTTGATAAATGATTCCGGATAAATTCCAAAGAAAGTTGACTCGTAAAGAAAATCTAGCTAATCCAAAAAGTCTCCAAATGCATGGATCGTGGTAAGAAACGGATAGAGAAAAACACGATGGCTTAGGATTATAACAGAGCAATGAAGAAAGCTTCTTCTTAGATTTAAAAATATTGATTAGCTAGATCTGAACATATTCTTATTTTCATTTGTAGATTGCTTCACAATTCTCTATAACAGCAGAGTATCTTGACCTATATCCATATTTGAGGTTAACATTGACATGGTTTATAATCGCACCAGCTATTGGTATGCGAAGATTGACCATGTAAGGGCTTGAAGAACTGTCCCATGCTTCATGCATTGTACCGTCAGATATCCCCGCTGAAAATGTTTCTGCCAAACTGTATAACATAATTTATACACAAACGTTGATGAGCAGAAGATGTACTGTCTGATATGTCCCTTGGCGTTTCCTATTTTTTGGGAAAAATTCCTTTAATTTCTAACGCCCGTTTTAAAATTTTTAAGCTGACAGAATGATAGACGCTTATCATAAGTAAATACGTAGTTTCACAGCTTTTTTTAATTTCCGTTGGAACTTTCTTAGGATAGAAAAAATATACAGAACTGCTTAGAGGGTCGTGGATATGACTGAGCATTCGCGGAGAAGTCAACATTGTGTTTATAGAACGTATTTGACAACACTACTAATCCCTGTTTTTATTAGGGTTTGGTCTTCTATGCATACGTTCAAAGACCCACCCGCCGTTAATGTGTGCTTTGGTGGTGATTAGAATGTCATTTGCTGATTTTTCCCTGTTTTTTTTTTCCGTACGATGTTAGAATCAAATCATTAATCACTAGGTTTTAGAGGTTATGTTAAATACCTAACCAACGCGGCTTTGATGAAATGTCGGACATTAAACTGCGTTCATTCCAATGTTGATGATAGTGTTCAGGTAATAAAAACAATATGCAAGAGTGTCAATAAAAAACAGCAATGGCATGAGTTTGCAACTGGCGCTCAGCACTGAAATCCAAGACAGTATTGGATTCTGGATTTCCACGCTGTGGATTCCGGATTCCAAGTACTTGGTTCTAGTCTTTGTCAGTGGAACTTGGATTCTGGATTCCAATCCTTAGTAGGATTCCGGATTCCTCGAGCTGTATTCCGGGCGCGATCCATTCAACCAAAATTCTGACCGGTCCGACCGGGAAAAGTGGTCCACCTCAAAAGGTGGACCTGTTTTTTCGAAACTTTTCCTGTTGGACAGAACCGATCCATTGAGTTTTGGACCGAAATTTCTGGAAATTTTGGTTGAATGGATCGCACCCCCGGATTCCACATGCAAAATTTTCCGGGATTCCGGATTCCACGAGCAACAATTACGCGGATTCCGGAATCCACTGATTGCAGCAAATGGAGCGAGATCGTGCGTTAATAAACCTTATACTATACCAGAACACTCAAGTGAAAGAGGGTCAAAGCTTAACTTGTCGTTGTATTTCGTCCACAGTCAAAACCACAACTACCATAAAACTTTAACTTGACTCTGATTAAGGTCATGTCATGGAATTGCTGAAACAACAATCTTTACCGCATCGCATGTTTACCCGGCATAAATCAGTATTTCAATTCATCGGCGATTACCAAGAAAACCGGGACAACGATGGCAAAGTGATGGGATCTTGGCAACCCGAGCAGAGTAAAGGAAGCATGGCTGACACAGCAGACTTCGAGATGTAACCCAGTGGAGTGAGACATTGCTCCAGTAAAAGAATTGTAGTAAAGGAAGCACGTAAAATCTTCATGACTTCGTCTTTTAGCGGATCTTCGATCGAAGAGATCTTAACGTACTTTAAGTGGTACTAGTTGCATCCGTTACCATCAAATATTAAAAAAATTGGTTTGCTTTACATGTTGCTGACTTAATGTGTGCACCGCCGGTTGCCATTAAAAAAACGTCACATTGACTTTTCGTATAAATAGCATGCAGTGTGTTCGGTTAAAAGTAAAATTAAAGCAAAAAACCCTCAGAAACAACTTGACCCTTGTGATCTAAATTAATCACTCTGTAAAATTCTAAAACAGTCGCTGGGGAAATTGGTTAACACATGCAAGTCTTACGCAGTCCACGTACCTGTCCAGTTAGCCAATCCTGAGCAGCTTCCAGAATTTGGCATAGAGCACGAACTTTGAGCATTAAGGGTAAAGTTACTGAACGTTACTGAAAATGATAACATGGAGTTCATTTTCACTTATACAACAAAGGCATTGGAATTAAACCGTTTTTTTCAATTCAGCAGCTCGACACTCAAAATCTCAGGTCAATTGAGGTGTATTAAAAAGTCCCCAATTTTAAGTTCATTTGTGTAACTCCTAATTTGTGCTTTACGGTTACTGTTACTATAAATATAAGAATCACTAACAACTAAAACTAATAATTAAATGACAAAAAGTCATATAATTTGTGATAGCATTATGTTAAAAGCATAAATTTTCAAAGCGTTCTTAGTATTTTACTGATAGGTCCTTATACGTAACTGATTTAACTGATGTCGGCGTTTGCCTAGAACGACGTTTAGGAGACGGTTACAGACCTATACCGTCAATTCATTACAAGGAACGTTAAATAATTCTCATCCGCTGCAAGCACTGAATCTCCAGCATAAGATGAAAAGGGAAGATGCGACAGATTAAACTTATTACTGGCACATTTGAACACAATGTTCTTGACAAGGAGTTTCTCTCCTTCTTAAAGCCTTATGCGCTAGTAAATTACAGCGTATTTACCTGAGTTGCAGGACTGCTTTAGACATTATGGTGTGAATGAATCCTCTAGTTTGACCTCTCTCTCGAAGGCTACTGAGGAGATAGTCATTTTCGCCATTCCATGAAGAATGCAGCCAATTAGGGGACTAAAATGTTGTTGCTTATTCTTTGGCATCCCGCAGGTTGTATACTCGGCAGTTTTTCCAGAATCATCGATTGAAATTAAGAGTCGGCCTTTACTAACAACGACCGGTAAGTGACAAATTACTTAAAGTCACTCGCTGGATTTCACTTGAGGGATTTTACTCTAGATTATTGCGTAACTAGTTAATTGTGCTAACTCTTTCTGGAGTCGGTGTTTTCTCAGTCACTAAATAAAATCCACCGTCTGGTTGTTGCATGTAACAAAATTTAAGTTTCGTTACCTTAACCGTTACTTTCTGGAGACTTTTTCATTAGCCAGTATTTATAATTTTTATTTATTTATATTGAAAGGAATTTTAATATGTCTATAAAAAATATTTTTATTCCAGTCGCTCATTACTTGGAGTTTTAAAAGCGCTAAGAACGTGTGTTCAAAAATTCGAAGCTTGTTAAGAAGACAAAAAACAAATCAATGTAATCATTGAAGAATATGCTGCGAAAGTTACAATAATATATGAGAGTGATGAAAAGCTGTTGGAGGTAAAACACACGTCTGGAAGGTTCTTTGTAGGTTAACAACTGTTTCTTTGATTGATTTTTATCATTTCGTGATAAGCTGCAAGAAATGTTGACCCTTATAAAGCACTTTACACCACTTCAGGAATTCACGCAATCGCATCTGTTCCTGCGGTTATCTTTCTTCAGACACTTTTGTTAATTGCTCAAATCAGCAAAAGTGTTTTCAAGAAAACGTAACCGGCATAAAGTTAAAGAGTTTAAATTACTTAATGTTTCAAAATGTTTTGGCACTCTTGCGTGCCAGTTACACGCCGACAGCGTGTCATTTATCTCTTGGACCCTCTTGGTACCCGTGCACGCGACGGTCTGAATTAAAATTCCATTAAGGTAGCCATCAAGAGAGCGATGAAAGAATGAGGTGAGTTGTTACAAAACACAAAATTATTAAGCACCGGGGCGGGAAAGGTTAAGAATGAATGAATTCCAGCAGAACTCTTGTCGTCGACATTCTCTGCAATGTTCTTAGCAGAGGCTTTCGCTGCACGTTGAAAGAGCGGAATGTAAGGCTATCTACTGCTGTGGTTTAAGAACACTGAACCCTCACCTGACAGAGGAATAATACTTTTTCACATGAGAAAAGAAATGAGCGGTGAGCGATAACATAAAAACAGTCCCCAACTTGTGAGTTCAAAGAAAATAGGGAGTTACAGTATTTAGGCTAAAGCGCAGTTTCGGAAAACTTTAACCATGTTTAGTTGGAAGGGTGGACCCAAGAGGCTTTTACAGCAGATCGGATTAAACCATAAAATACCTTATGTAAACCACCTTTAATCAGTCTTTATCACCTAATGGACAACTTTCTTACCGGATTTTAAAATTGGGTGGATTCAGTCTAATCAGGCAGTTTCAGATGATATAACTCTTCAACTATTTTCTTGCGATAAAGCATCGGAAAAATTATTTAAAGTCAAAATTGAGAAAAAAGTTCCTTTGGGATTGAAACAGTCCACCTCACTCCCCCCCTCCCCCCTCCCCCCTCCCCCTTCCCCCAACCTTAAATCCTAGCACTTTGTCCTCACAAAAAATAAATGAAAAAAAGTGGCCCAGTCAATCCAAGCACGCTCATCCCTTGAGCATTTTTCTGGCATTTGCCTTTTTGTTGTCTTAGAAAATGCCCTATTGTGGGATCGAAGCCCAGGGACAAAGCAAAAAATATACTTTGCTCCAACGGGCAAGCGTTAATTTGGGTACCACATGACCACGTTTTCCCTCTATTTATTTTTTTGTTGTTTACGGGTTGTTTACTGTTTATTATATCCATATTTATGTGTTTTTGTTCGCGACCTTTCTTACAGGGAGGTTCACCTCCAGGCAGAATATGAAATAGCAGGATGAAATGATTCCTTTTTTATCTATTAGTAGCATTATTATTATTTTTGTTGTTGTTATTATTATTATCCTTTATTATTTATTCAAAATATTTTTCCAACTCCTATTGGCTAAATTCCTTGGCTAATTATTTATAACCAGATAGCGTTGACCAAATTTGGAAGACGTTTGCGCGATCTGATAAAATGACGTCAATACTTCAACGCCTGAAAAGGGGACGGGAACCGACAATCCCTGGGGACGAGGTTGCGTTGTTTTGATGACGTGAAGCTGTAGAAAATGGCGGAAAATTTCTCACGTTTTGCGAAGAAAAAATAGCTGAACGTACCTAAAAACATGCAAGAACGGCAAAAATACAACTGGGTGGATCAGTGGCATATCTGCTCTTGAGACCAAACATCCTAAATTTGCCGAGAAGCAGGTATGGAGACGGGAACTTAACATCGATCGAGTTAAGAATGTTCCAGCTTGTTTTTAACGCTATGAATTCAAGTTTCAGAGTTATGTAGGAAAACAACAACGAACAAAAACGTTACCTGGCGCAAAACCGTGTAAAATGGCCATGAATTGAGCCCAGCAGGTTAAACAGAAAAAGCATCACCTGAACCCAAATTCACGTACTGAGTAAAATGATTTCATTCTGCATTTATGCCTATATTTTTACGTTTTGGCCAGTATGTTGAATTTCTCAAACAAAGTCTTTTCATTGTTCGCAATATGCAAAACAGAATCTGATTTATACAAAGCCAGACTGGCTCCAACTGGCCTCGTTGCCTTTCCTTTACATGATGTTGCGGTCTCTCCAGAATCTTCTGTGGTGACCGCAGCCTGCTTCTTTTCCCTAGCTAGTGTTTTAAATTTTACAAATATTTCTAAAATAAGCTTGGTTTTAAAATATGTGCCTCTTAAAAGTGGTTGGAAATATGAAATTTCCAAAACCCGGAAAGGCTCTTTGATAACTATAAATGCCCCACCTTAGGAACGTCCAACTTGCCGATCAGACCAGTGGGAATGAGCATGCTTAGTCCGCGGAATTGACTGATATAATATAGTAAAACTGGAAAGAGACACCACTCATTTCTTTACTGGAAAAGGGACTGAAGATAAAAGTGCAAATTTCTCGCAACACTGCCACGAGGTTGGGTAGAAACAGTCAAGGATGTCAACTGCTTGGAGCTTGATAGGGAAATTAAAAACGGTTAGAATTTGATATATATTCAAATAAGTCCTATGGCGCTTAATTATCGAAGTAAAAATCCTCAAATACTGACCTTTATTTCAAATTATACTGCAATGATCGTCAGTTAGGAGCATGCGGTTGTGGTCCGTTCCGTGTTTCCGATGCTAAATAATCTTTAACGCGAAAATTCTATACCCACGCAAATGGGGGCCATAAGTCTCGTTTGAACCACAGCCAAATTGTCACAACTTCACTTAAACGTGCCGTAGAACTGGATAATCTGTCTGAAGCCTGACGCAAAACTACCGAAGTCAGTTTTCACCGTCTTACCTAATAAGATATAGTAAAATGGGTATTTTCGAGTTGCCGAAATTCTCTCGAACTTTTTTACTTACGTTTTATTTCAATGCATGTTTTAGCAATAGCGCTACCTGGGATGTCTCTTAACGGCACGTTTTAGACTAACCTTTACTCCTTTCCTGTTTTTTTCTTTGCGTTCAAAATTCCGACGGAGACTATTCGTCCTTTCTTTTCCACCTTATTTAGGTTTTATTCATGACGGATCAGTGATAATATACTTGCTTCTCATTTCAATTGACTCATACCTGGCTTGCTATGAAATGTTACCGGTAAGGCCATTCCCGTTTAATAATCATGCAGTTCAGTTGTTTTCGCGGTCCTTTTCATTCAGTGTTTGTGGTTTAAGCAGTTTATTAAAGGATAACCCCGGAGAGTTAGAGTAAAGGAAATTAAGGGTGAGATTGAATAAACACAGGTTAGTAGCCTTTAAGAGGGACTTTCTCTTACACTCTCCTCACCAAATGTAAGCAGATTTATGTGATCAAACGACTTTTCAAGGCTGGAGCCAGGCTATGAGACGACTAGACAATTGCCCTGTCCATGGTTTGGTCAAATCCTTTCCCGGATTAGAAAAAACAGGTTACTCACCACGAACAATATTATACTGATGAAATCTTGCATAAATTTATTTATTATATATAAGTAGTAGAGAATGCGGTAGGGTACAACCAAGAGAGATCTCAGTTGTGATGTCAAACCCGATATCCCTAACATAGGACTATTTCCACGTTTGGCATTTCCTTTGATAAATAAAACAAAGAAGCATTTTATGCCATTGTTAAAACTGTTTGCGGAAACAAGTTTTATACCTGCAAGAGAACTTGGTCGTGCGGCATTTCGGCTCAGAAAGGGCAAAATCAATAATGAAGTGCTACCTCTCCTCACACATTTCGCGGGAGTCACACTTTTCAAGTGCATATCTGTTCACATATTGTGAACAGTCAGAAAACGTCAGTAGTCTCATGCATTTAGGACTCTAAAAGACAGAATCGAAGGACAACAGTGCTCTCTCTATATGTAGTCAACGTACAAACTGATTGACTAGTTTTATGTCGAATGCTTTTGATTCCTGGAGCAATTATCCATGCACTTCGAGTAGGACATGGCGACAAGAGTTAACTAGATTAAAGTGAAATTTGCTATCCACAGCGTGCTTAGGAGATATCGTACGTGAGAAACGTCGTCTCACACGCAGCTTCATAATTATAAGCCACCCCTTTTTATAAATTCTTCCGCCCTCCTACGACTTGGTGGCCAAGAATAAACAACACAATGGCGCCTTAGTGGTCACCACCAGTAGATGGTCGAATGATTTCTATCCCATGAATAAATCGCTAATCCCTAATCTGTTAGTAAGACGTTTATACCCACAACGTAATTTAAATCATATTGAAAGATAGCTCTTTAGTATTTTATTCATTCTAAAAAAACAAACAAACAAACGAAAAACAAAAAAATTGAAAATTAGTGGCTCGTCTAGATGGAACTCAACGAGTTCTCCACGCTGGAAAATGTTTTAAGAGATTTGTACTGGGTCAAGAACTTAGTTATTTCACATTGATCCAAGTGTCGGCCAATCAAAGGTAATCCAAGGCAGTCTTGGATTCTGGGATTCCACGCTGCGGATTTCGGATTCCACTGTAGTCTGGATTTTTGGTGGGAGGCGCCGCCAAGCGTTTCTGTCAGCAGCCGTAGCAGTCCAAAGCTCCTCCTCGGCGCTTCCGGCTTTGTGGCAAGTACTGTACTCCAAATTTTATGATCTTTGGTTGGCGGTGGTTAATCTTGTACCTAGTTCTCTTATTGACCAATCCGAAGGCAAGATCTGGTCAATATGAGAAAAAAATTTTTATTTAAATACCTAGATTGTGTTGCATTTGGAAAGGCGCTGAGAGGCCGGTTGTTTCGAACTGGTCTGACTTGGCCAAACTGGCCCTTGCAGAGCTGCCTGATCCTGTAGGGCAACAAAATTGTCCATTATTGTCCAGAGTCCCCTCATACTCACCTGCTCAAGGCTATGGACAAGTCAACGAAAGTGTTATGGTGTACTAGGCATGTGTAACAGAATTTTCGTAGCGCAGTTTCTGGGTCAAAGCCAAAAATTAAAGTCGGATCGCTTGTAATCGGGCGGAGAAGAGGGCAAACAAAGAGAATCCAATATAGCCACAAGTCGTAAGTCTGTTTTATTTGTTATCGATTTATCCCATCGCCATTGATTTCCCTAAGACACCCTCAATACTCGAATGGTGTTCTAGATATCAGTCGTAGACAGTAACTTAACCATTTATTGATCATCACATCACTGGTCGCGTTAGATCATCCAAAAGAGTAGGGGAACTTTTAGGAGTTCTCCCAAAGATTTCTCGCTGACTTTTACTAGCCTCACTAGCTTTTCACGCTGGGGACTCACTAAGAGGACAGTGCGTGAATTAGAAATTGGGTCTATTCTTAGTACACTGAACCGACAGTCCACGCTTTTCAAGAAGCTGACCTTTTGATCAATTAGGCTGTCCTAAAATGGCAAATCAGTAATGGTTTATACATCAACTAAACAGAGGAAACGCACTTTAGTTTAGTTCACTGGAGTTATATTTCGAATCACTGATCAAATCTGCACACTCAGCCGATAAATTTGGTTTAGCCACCCTCCATGGCTATTACATATAAAATGAAATGTCGAGAGGTTAATGCGTGCAGAAGAAGAGTCGGTTGACACTCTCCATCGATATATCGGCCGATTATCGATCGGACGAGTAACGATCGACTCTCATCCGATTATTAATCAGTTAAAGATCATGCTATTTCTTTTAGTCAGATGTATCAATACATTTGTAATTGTGTTAGGTGCAACACAAATATTACAAAACACCTCATTTTTATCCATTCTGTGAAAAAACATCACACTCATGTACTTTAATAAAGGTAGTTAATGGACGGTAACCTGCTGTTTTTTTCAGATGCGTGATCATGAAGAAACAAAACAAAAACATTTAACTAGACATTTTTTTTCAAAACTAAAGACTTTCATTTTAACAGAAGAGTTTTCAATTGTCAGATTTGGCTTTCTCTTTATTAAAACAACGTCAAATAAGTTTTAAATAAGAAAACATGCCTCAAGAGAGATTTACTGTCTCTTGGTAACGACATTCTTTCTAAGTACCTTTGAGATTTCCCTTGGATCTGATTTGTACATTCTACGCAGCACAGCAGAACAGAAAGGGTCATTAAGAAAGAGAGAACTCTTTATAGAGAGCTAACATAAGGAAATTCAGTTTTTTTCTGAGGTAAGAACTGACCGTCGACAATTCTGTTGTACGATGTTTATTGAATCCTCACTGGATTACTTTATTGCGCCCTCCCATGCAACCTTAGCTGTTTCTTAAGCAGTGTTAACAGAAGAAGATGCTCTTGAAACAACAAAAATTAAGAATAGAAATAAATCTTTCCCTCTGGAAAGACAGTAGTAAAATCAAATACGATTTTACACTAATCTTAGACGTCAGAACTCATGGAAAAAGCATTGAGTCGTTTTGCATTCTTCTAATCTTAAGACACTTTCTTAAACAACGACTCTTGTTTTTTTACAATTGCTTTCGATATAGAAGTATCTACCGTTTATGTCAAATTTATACCATTTTTAGCTTTCACTTTTTGTTAATTTGAAGCTTAAAAAGGCTATTGGCCTTTGAGCCATACTGATATACAAGTATTCCAAAATTTAGCAATTCATTTTAGCCAGGAACCATTTGTCATGTCTCTCACTTATTTCGAGTGGAAAAATAACGGGAGTCGAAGTTTTAATTCAGCTTTCAGATGAAAATTTCTCAGTGCTACAGTCGCATTCATTCCACGAAACTGATATTGAAGCGGACTGCGAACGGCTTCTGATTAAGTGAAGATCCTAAAGGCTATGATGTTGCATTTAAAGAAGGTTTCGAAGAAAGATTTAAAAAGCAGAAAGCAAAAAAAAAGGGGATATAAACAACAACAACAACAACAGTAAGAAAGCAGGAAAACAGACGATAAAGGCTCCCAAAGGGTACAAGATCGGACGTAAAACCGTCTGAGAACAATACGATTCGGTCTGAGAAACTTCATAAGTTAAGTAAAAGCGAGACTACATTTGACTGAATCCTGACCCCTAAATCCAAAATAGCCAGTGATTCCTGAATTTTTACTTCAGTGAAGCTTATACGTGAACGGTGCTTACAACGAGATGACTAGTAAGATTTTAGGTTCAAAAGTCTAAATTATATCTCTTTTGAAAAGGATGTCTTCAAGGACAAATCAAATGACTGCTCACTGGAAATTATTTTCGGCAAATTTAAGGACTTGTTTCTTTAGGCGGCATTATTAAGTATCCCTGGAAATGTAAAGGGCCTTTTTTTACGTCAGTAGCTCGAAATAGTTATCGTCTTTCAAACAAACCTGAGGCCGAAGGTGCCCTCATTTCAAACCTCCCGTCTCTCTCCATCAGAGCTCTGTTTTAAAGAGTATTTATACAGCTACTGAGAAGCTACATGGAAAGAAAAGCAGTCGCGAAAAGGATTTGAGGAGATATCTGGAATTAAATCGAACTCGGGACCTGTCGCACAGAGCTATATAGGGTTGCTCACTAACCAACTGTGTCAATCCTTGCTTCTTCAGTTGGCATCAAATCACTCAGTAACCAGTCTTAATCCATCGGAGGGAGAAAGTGCCAAGTTCGTTCTCGGTTAGCCTCGATGAATAACATGAATTCAAAGACAGATTGCAAGCAAAAGATCGAGACTTTGACGGTAAATAGCCGAACTGAAACGCATGTCCGACACACATAGCTGACTAGAGCAGATTTGTTTGCAAAGTGAGACACAATACGAATGTTTTTTTCCTTTTTTACCTTCTCATTTTTAATTTAATGATCGAAATCGCTTCCATTTTCTCTCTAAAATACTTTTGTCGTCGCAATTTATCGCCAGAAGCTCTTCTTAAATCACTAAAACGGTCAAGAAGAAGTTCGTCGCGGTCGGTTGCTTGACAACCGTCTCCACCCAACCTAAGATGGATGCTGATAATTATATTTAGCCGATTTTGTGAAAACGAACCTAGTAGCCAAATTTGCAGTCATTTGAGTGAAAAATGGCCAAATGGAAGAAAGGAGAAGAAAAGAAAAAAAACAATGGTTACAATCTTGGTTTTTATAATGGCTACTTTGACGGAAGAGGTCTGTTTGGTGGTAACATTTTCAAATATAAGGCGTTCTTGTCGCTTGAGGCCTTAAAATAGATGTATAAATCTAGCCCCCGGGCTTGATATACATATCTAGTTTAAGACCTCAAACCTAGGTGACAAAAACGCAGGTAAAAACCTCTAATTTCAGAGGTTCAGTCAAAGCGTAATTAAAACAGACTGGTTCCTTCTTGCCGGATCTCTAATGTAGAGATGCTGGAGTACTTGAAGTGGAAATTCAAGCAAAACTGAATGCATTGCTGAGCACCATTTAAAGACGAAACATCAAATTGACTAGGACTCTGCGACATGTATAACGTATTCTACAGACGACTATCAACGTCTTACTTTAGAAAGCTGGTTTACTAACTTAGAACAAACGCCACTGAATCGTAGCCAACAGTTACCGGCGCCATACAAACGACTTATTGACGAGATCAAGCAAAACTAACTACGAGAGAACAACTGGAGAACTGACAATTTGACTAACAATAGACGACTGTTTAACTGTGACAATAGATGGATCGAAACGCACCAATCACTGATTGAAGATGACTACCGCACAGGTTGTCGAAACGTCAGTCACTGTCAACAACAACAGTCCTATTCAGGACTACGTTCACCCGGACGATCAAACTCAACCTTTTGAAATGACTCCTGGGTTCAAACCTTTCACACTGAATGCATAGTTAGTTTGGCCCCAAATAAATAAGCTCAGCGCCAGCCTTGCATTCAGTTTTGCTTTAACAACAACGCAAGGTCATGAGGGTATCTGTAAATCCTTTGAAATTTGGTCACAATTTCGTTTTTTCACTGCCAGAGAATGAAATAAAATGTCAAAAACGCTTATCTTTGCGATTTACCCATATTGCCTTGCGGTCTGATCGGGAACGCTTTTCGAGATCTACAAGGTGAATTGAAATAGCTGTAAAGCCAAACCAAGATCCCACTACGCTAAATGATCCACGCTCGATCCACAAGCGAGTAAAATTTCCACTGGCAAATTTATAAACCTTGCTTCGCAACTAAACAATTTGAAAAATGAATAAGGGAGGTGGTCAATGATCAGTGGTAGCAATTGAACTATGCAATAATAGATTTTCACGGAACGAAAGTTGGTTGTTGTTTTGACATTCCATATCAAACCTTTCATTCGGCCAATCAACTACAATTTTTTTTTCCAGGACCAGTTTCAGATGAAGGCCTGGGTCCTGTTACTAGTGTTAATACCGCTGATCACCTTCAGCAATGGACGCACCAGATTCCGCATGGTTGAATATGACGAAGACCAAGGCCACTCCAGGGCTTATGCAGTCTGCATGAGGCAGTGTAAACGTGAATGCTTAAACAACGAAGGAGAATGCAAACATCACCCTCAGAAACGGGAGCTCATTTGCCGGCAGGGTCCAAAAGATGGTGACTGGAACGGCTTCAAGACCTTCTTGGATAAAAGGGGTGTCACGAAATGCGAAGATTTTCTTGAATTGAAACCTGCATTGAAAGAGGACGAGACCAAAAGCAAACACTTTTCATTTCAGCCGTCTGAGATCTGGCAGTTATTTGAATGAGTAATTGAACAATCGATTGGGTGTAAAAGGTCTATGGAAAGAACGGGAAACATGTCACTGTAAGCTTGTTGTTGTATTAGAAGATGTTCTGTAGCTGTAGATGTGCATCCTCCTGATCTTTTGTTAAAATGGTATTTAGTAATGATATTTAATATTGAAAGCAACGCAAAATTACTGCAAAATTTATCAGGGAATAAATTTACTGTACTTTACTTAGCTGAGAACCTTTCTCTTAGATTGGTTTATCTGAATCTCGAATTAGAATTAGAATTGTAATCTGTACCAGAATGCTTCGCCGGAAACATCCCCGACTTTTTTAGCGCCCGCTAATATCTTGTGTCATTGTTTTGCAACCATTAGAGAAAGTTCGTTAAAAGCAACAAAAGTCTCCTGAGGAAACAGCCATAGCCACGGTTAACATGTTTATTTAAGTTGGATGTTGTAGAAGGAAAGTTACCAAAGCAGACCGACTCTCTTTATATTTGTGTAACTCTTTTCAAAGTATTTTCATTTTCGGCCTCAAATGTAGCTATGTTGACACTCTTCTTCTATCTCGAGAAATAATTAGTATAAGCACTAGGTCATTATCGACAATATCATGTGGGGTTGGATATCGGGATCTCGCCGGAAATGGTATATGGTATACTTAGCAATTATTCAGTAAGAGATGAGTATGATGTGATCGAAGAATTATGTAGATCGAAGAGGATGTTAGTGGAGGTGAATAACAGCCTCTTATATCAGCATGATTATTTTAAAATTAAATATCATACGAAAGACTGTCCTGGGTGCCAACCTCGTTCTCAGGTTCTCTCTAGAGGTTGCCCTGGGTGCCAGAGGTTTTCTTTCTTTGCTCGGGTTATTCCATCCCAGGGTTTCGAGAACGCCGAAAGCCGAATTCAGTAGTTTTGTTTATTCAGGGTATGTTTAAGTCCTTAATAACCCCAACTCCTCTTGAGTATTTGCCTCTTTTTCTCGGCACAGTTTCAGGATAAAAACAAAAGTGTTTTTCCTTGCAGATATTCCTCAAAAAGTAGATGAAATCCTTTGTGACAAGATGTTTTACAGATTTTTGCATCTCGTGCGTTCGGTTTTAGTCAGAAATTCGTCTTCGGATAACAGTGAACTCTTTCGCCATTTTTTTAGGTCACTCATACATAAATAGCAAGGCTGCCGCTCCACCGCCTGGAGACTAGGTTGGATTCGAGAAGGCAATATACCATGATAGTGTCGATGGTATATTGCTAGTATTTTTGGTCCACGCTAGCTGGTTATGAAGAATTAGCAAGTAAGGGGATTTAAACCAATCAGAAACAGCAAAATATTTTAAGAGAAAATTATACACTATCACCAACTTAGTATAAAAGTCAACCATTTTGGGTTACACCATTTTCGTTTTCTAAAAGAAAAGGCACGCTTGAATTCATAGTAAGTCTTTTAATGTACTGTGATTCGGTCAATACAGGAACATAAAACTCCTTGGTGTCCATCAGAACCATTCAGAATAACCCTATGAATAAAACAAAGATAAAGAGGTTAAAATAAAAACCAACTGGCCTCAAAAAAATGAAGCTTGGGTACTCACACGCTTGCTTTAATTGGTATCGATCGTAGTTATCCTCGACCTCATAGCCATGATGAAAACCATGAGGACCATGAGCTAACAAGAACAGATAACGAGTCACGATTATAATGTGAATTTATGATTAGAAAATGGTCAATTGATTATGAGGAATACAGTGGCGGGTCCAGGGGAGGGGCCCGGGGAACCCGGGCTCCCCCTTTTTTTTAGACCGAAAAGAGGCCCCCCCCCCTCTTATCTGAGGGTCTGGATCCGCCACTGGAATAATTACAGCCTTACACGAAACAGAGACAGCTGACTTAAATAGTGTGGAAATGATTTGGATTCAAAAGATTATCATCAGTGCAATGTTTGCAGTTTTTTAAAATTGTCTATTTGAAAAAAAAATTCAAAATAAGCCGTTACTCATTAGCGGAGCTCTCGCGCGCGCAGCGGAGCACCATGGGTAAGAAAATGTGGTAAACTGCCCATCCGAGAAAATTTGGTGATCATGTGATCGTACACCGACCGTCCGTCCACACCACAGGCATACTAATGCAAAACAACTCAATCAACAGGTATGGCAACCCAAATGCAACTCAAGGTCATTTTGACGGGAAGTCGCATAACTACTCGCGTCTTGCGAAGAAGAGACAACTAAGGAGTCGATGAATACGAAAACGGAAAGCGGAAGTTGTCTCTATATCCGTGTTTTCTAAAGTATTAAGCTTAGATTAATTGTCATGTCCACAAATTTGGAATCTAGAGCAAGAGAAAGACCGAGAAAAAGAGAAAGTACGCGGCAGGCCAGCAAAGCTCAACGAGAAAAAGGGCGACAGAGTTCTGGAGCGAGAGGTAAAAGACAAAGGAGACATTTTTTGGTTGAAAGAACAACATGAAAATTTTGTAGCGGCGGTAACAAAATGAGACAAAATTCTTAAGAATAACTACAAATTATACGGGAACCACAACTGTCGCTTATAAGATCTACATGTACAAGGTTAATGCACCGTATGCTGGACTTAAAAGATTGTAAGCTAGGTTTGTCTCTGACTTTGCGGCTGTTTAATCTATGGTCCATAGAACCTCAAAGAATGTTTCCCGAAATGTAAATTATTAAATCTGAGTACTTGTGATGAAAATTCTTATTTCTTAAGTGATTCTTGAATGACTAACATGATGACTGTAATAGAAAAGAACAATTATGTATCCGAAGTAGTAAAAATGGAAGAAAGATAGCTATAAAGGCTCCTATCAAATTAATGATTTTTGCTGTAAGTACAAATAAAAAAAAAGAAAAAAATAGATTAAGTCGTATAACCATCAAATGACACCGGCCTCATAGATCCAGACGCAGCAGTCACGTACTGATCTTCGTTCCCGACGTGGCTGGTCATGAATGTCCTACTATAAACTACTTCAAAGTCACCTTCTTCATCACTTTCTGTATCAGAATCTGTCTCGTACAGAAACCAGATCATTGATCTGGTTCCTGTATGTCATATATCTGTGTTGTTGGCCTAAGTTTCAATCCATTTTTAGCCCTTGCAATCCATTGCAGCAGACGACGGGAAACAATATCTGACAAAGGCATGAAAGTATTAGTCACGGGACAATTCGTCTTTTCGTGATTGTAGCCCACTTCGAATTTGTAGTTCCTTCACCATGGCTTCAAAGCCTTGGGCGTAGTTCAAAGCACTAAATGTTTTTGTGTTGAAGTAAAAAACCGCTTGTAAGTTTTCCACCTGCGTCGTCAGAAGATTTTCGTACCTCTCGCTACAGACTTTGTCGACATCCTCTTTCTCTCCATCAATGTTATCTTTTTCGCAGACGTACCTTTTTCGCGTATTTCAAAATCGTCAAAAGATATCCAAGGGTTTAAACACGAGCTTAGTAGTCTCAATAGTTAGAACTACAACATCAGTTACAAAAATGATTTCTCGTAAGTACAAATTAAATTTTCATGTACTTGAAAGAAAGATGCTGATTTTATAGCTCAGCCATCAGAAATCAATTTATTTTTGACCAGATCAAGTGTTAAGAGTCACAGCTTTTGCTCTGGGTAGTAACGTTTTACTTGACGATCTTTTGGGTCTATGAAAACAGTACTTCTTTTTTCCGAACACAGAAATAATGTTAATAATAGAAGACGAAATATTCGTTAAGATTTGAGTTGTCTACAAACAGTTCTATGACTGACGCTTAATTTCTGTTTGCCGGATACTACCCTGGTGCCCTTTGCATATAGCAATATCAGTTAATGTGCCACTGGGTCATCAGCGAGACAGAAAAAAGTCAGAAAGTAGCATTTGTGTTTGAAAAATTTTGTAGATTCATTAAAAACTATCACTTAAATAACTACTGATTTTTTGGCCAAATATCAGTTAACTGATGACCCCATTGGCACCCTCAGATAAGTATGTGCCGCCCCAGATGGTATGCCGTTTTGGTCTTAAAACCGAAAACGGGTAAACATTTTGCCCATTTTGGTCTGGAATCGGATATGGTTTTCGAGGGAACTACGGGAGTGTATGAACGTATTTGTTGTTTCAGTTCCAAATGTCTTAACAAAGTCTACGAGTCCACAGCTTCTACGTTCGTAGGACTTAGATCAACTTTCGCGGCTTAGAAGGAGTGGAAATGATCAGCAGTATAAAAGATTATTGGCTCAGACAGGCTGTAATCAGAATGATATGCTTGACTACAGGGCGAGCGCTCAATTCTAGTAAAAGGTGGTCATGTGCAAATTTCCTTCAAGTTGGCAGCAAATCTTTGAAAAGCTTCAAAGAATGAAATTTCTTAGGATAGAAATAATTACTTACGATTGCGTTGTCATTGAAGGATATCGAATTAGGACTAAAAGGTCCTATGGAAAGCTTTCCTTCCATTAAGCTGCAATCGGTAGCTGGTTGAGAATATGCTTGTTTAAGTCCAAAGACCGCATAGTTTTAAGTACGGAACCAAGTTTTCCGCGGTGTAGGCATAATGACACTGATCTGTTAGCCTGAATTTCATCCGATTGCTTCGAGTCGTTTTCTCCTCTCAGTTACAGCTGAGGGAGTAATAACGACTCGAAGTAATCGGATGAAATTCAGGCTAACTGATCTATTTGGTACCTGATTGTAAGTGTGTCATGGTTAAGTAAACATTCTGCTTAGCTATGACTGCAAGATTGGAAAGAAAGAAAGCAAGTAATCTACGAATTTGAAGTGGATTTTAAGAAATCTGTTATTTGGCATTCTAATCTAAGTAATGAATAAAAAGAGGACATTATTTTCTTAGAGACCAGGTCTGAAAACGGGTATGGATTTTAGAGGCCTGGCCTGAAAACAGTTAAGGAAAATGACATTGTTTGGTCTGAAATACGGTCAGGGTTTGGAGAACCAGGCGGCACACCCCCATCAAGAATTCCTAGGAGTACCCCCCCGGGAACTAGTTC